GAGAAAAGCCTGGGCCTTGGGCACCCTGGAGGGGGTGGTGATATAAGGGCAGATGGGAAGAAGAGGGGAAAGACCAGAAAGGGAAAGTGGCCTCTGAAGTGAGCTCTACAGAATGAAAAGCTACTTAATGACCGATTCTAGATCCATCCCCTCACTTCATGGGCGTAAAAACAGAGGCTCTGAAAGAGGAAGGAATTTAAAGGAGGCTGCACAGGCAAGTAGCAGATATAGGATTCAAATTTAATATATTTTTCTCTGCAAATGCAACTAACGATAAGTGCAGATCTTCCGGGGAAACTGGGACAGATGGCCATTGTGACTGCTATGATAGAGGGTGGTGGTTCTAACAATTCAGCAGAGGTTCCTGTCTCCCCTTGTCCCAGGGCCTCAGGTAAACAAACCTTCCACCTGCCACCCACCTAGTGACTCACCTCACTTGGGAGCTTGCTCCGGATCTCAGGGTAATCCCCTAGGCCTACACTCACCCCAGGGCTCTGTAGACCCAGGTCAAGTACCTCAGGCTGAGTGACCCGGCCAGGGCACTACTGCCCTACCTCTGCTCAAAGTGAGACCCTGCAGTGATTCTGACAAGGAGGATTCAGCCTGAGGACTCAAGTTGCTTAGGGAGGCCACCCAGCTAGCAAGTCTTTGGTCATCCCTCCAGCCCCAACAATGGATGGATTCCTCGCTGGTCACTACCTGAGGGAGTCCTGTCAGCACAGAATAACCAGGAGAGTAAATACAGAACTGACACGACAGGCCCCCCAGAGCTCCAGGGAAGCCAGAAAGAGATATAGACACTGGGTCACAAGGCAGACCAGTGTCACAAAGCAGACACAAGCTCCACGGGCTGGAAAGAGAAATATTCCAGAATGGAGAGAGAAGCCCTGGAAGGAAGATCCAGGAGAGGAGCCCCGACCTGGCCAGATTTCCTCACATCTGCAAGTCCACATTTATGATGTATCTTGGGCTCCAGGAGTTTAGGGCCAAGATGGGAACATTTTTTATGTTCTCCTGCTCTCAGATGGTGCAACTAGTGGTCAAAGAGAACAGAATCTGGGTGGCCAACAGAGACAGACTTCTGTATAAATAGGTATAATACCTGCCTCACTAGATTGTTGTGAGGATTAAATGCTGTAATAAATGGCAAGCAACTAGCACCTTACCAGGCATAAAGTACATGCTCTTATTTCCCTCCTCCCATTCCTCCACCTCCCAAGGAGAAAGACTCTGGGAGTATAATCCCTCTCCCTGCCTCCTCCATGTCTACCCTGAACTGTGATATCTGGGTGGGAAACAGCTTCAGGCTGCAGATGCTATGACAGCGTTGCTTAAATTGAATTATACTGAAACCAGAGATGCCTTTAGCTCTCCCAGGGAGTTCAGAAGTTTTCACCCTGAGAGTAACTGCACACTGCACAGGAAAAGGCATTCAAGTTGATAAGAAGTCATTCGGATCACCATCTAAAGCAGCTTTAGCCTTTGAAATAAACTCATTCCTTATTAGCACACACTTGGGATTTCCAGGACTGAATATTATTATTTCTATTACACAAAGCCCATTTTGAAGACATTTTTTCATGCTGTCAGAGTCCTATGTAATTTCATCTCTCCACAATGTTACTCTCTTTCACGTGTATAGAGTCATAGGCCCTGATGAGAAAGGAAAAGAGAAAGAGAGAAAACGAACAAGTCATTGACCCAATAAGGGCTAGAAGCAGGGCACTAGTACAAATGAAAGACAAGTCCACATCTCTGAGAAACTTCTGGCCATGAAACAGTGTTTGGACTTTTCCTGAAAGCAATAGGAGTCCAATGAAAGCCAACTCAGGATCTAAAATAGGAAGCTACTGGTAAACTTTCTTTTAAGAACGCTCATTTGGTTATAATGGAAAAGACATATGTGGAGTGGGGAGGTAAGGAAGAGTAGTTAAGAAACTATTCAATAGACAGTAATTTGTATTGTTGTAATGTGATAAATATCCTTAAAACAGCAACCATATTACAATATATAAATGTGTCAAAGTAGCATGCTGTACACCTTAAATTTACACAATGTTACATGCCAAATTTATTTTTTAAATTAAAAAGAATATTACAATTTTTAAAAAACAAAGAGCTTGAATAAATGAAGTATTTCAGATTGTGTTTTCAAAATATTTACTAAGCATTTGGTATGTTACAAAAATATTTTGCATACATGACCTCACAACTGCCTGCACAGTAAACGATACAGTATTCTCTCCCTTTTAATGTAAGGAAACGGAGGCTTAGAGAAGGCAAAATGATTTGCCCATGATCACCCAATTAAAAAGTTGGCCTAGCCCTGGATGGTGTGGCTCAGTTGGTTGAGCGTCCTCCCATGCACCAAAAGGTTGCTGGTTTGATTCCTGGTCAGGGCACATACCAGGCTTTGGGTTTGATCCCCAGTTGGGGACAACTGAAGGGTGTTTCTCTCTCACATTGATGTTTCTCTCCCTCTTCCTTCCCCCCTCTCTAAAATCAATAAAAACATATTAAAATATATACATATTTACTTCTAGCCCAGCCAGCATGGATCAGCAGTTGAGCATCGACCTATGATCCAGGAGATGGCCATTCCATTCCGGGTCAGGGCACATGCCCAGGTTTGGGATTTGATCTCCAGAAGGGGGAGTGCAGGAGGCAGCCAACTAATGACTTATCATTGATGTTTTTCTCTCTCTCCCTCTCCTTCTCTCTCTCTAAGATCAATGAAAATACATTAAAAAAAAAAAAATTACTTCTTTAAAAAAAAAAGTTGGCCTAACCAGAAGAAAAAATCTGATGTGTCTACTCCAGGACCCCTACAACTGCTTCTGTCCTAGGGCAGAACCACATTTCCTTGGAAGGTAAATTCACAGCGAGGATTCACAGAGCACAAGACAATGATGAGCTCACAGGTAAAAGTGCTGAAGTCAGGCTAGCAGAAGACATGAGGTGGCACTAGCCAAAGACAGGCGCCACCCCATACTGGCCAGACTAGGATCCCGAGCTCCTCCTTGAGTCCTGGTCCACTTTGAGCTCATCCATCTGTCCCTTACACCATAGCACATCCACCCTCACTCTCCTGAATGTTGCCCCTGAATGTGGAATGTTCAGGGATCTCAGACAGAATTCTCCAAAGCCAAAGCAATGGTTTCCTGCAAGCTCCTCCCACCAGCACCACCCTCTGCTCAGACACCAGGAACACAGCAGCTGTTCCCATTGCCTGGGAGCCTGGGTACAGGTTCCACCAGCATCCACATTTGCCCAGTGGGGACCGCAGGTTCCTGACTGGGCACTAGCAACACTGCCTCAGGACCCACTCAGGTTTGCCCAGTCAGTGCCCTGCCCTAGCTCACACCACCTCCGGGGACTTCCCCGCCACTCGGGCAGGAAGACTGGAAATCAAGCCGTCAGAGCAGATGTAGGATAGGAGTGCCAGAAAAAAACCCCGAATGCAGCCCAGGAAATTTGAGCTCCCTTATGATTCTGTCACCAACACACAGGGCCCTGACCAAAAGTATAAACCACCCCTGGAACCTGAAGCCCTCAACTGCTAAATGAAAACAAGTTTAGTGACCTTAAACTTTAGTGTAAACCAAATTTTTTGGAGGTTCTTACAGAGAATTCCTAGACCACATGCTCCAGGAATTCTGATTCAGTGGCTCTGGGATGGGGCAAAGAATCTGCATTTTCCACAGATTTTCCATGGAATGCCAATGCTGCCAAGTCACAGACAGCTAGCTTAAATGTCCATCAAGAGAAGCCTGATTTGAATATAATTTCGAACAAAGGAATACTATGCAGCCCTAAAAAATGTGAGTCTATAGTATGCTATTTTGTAAAAAAGGGGCAAAGTGAGCAATCATGTGGTTAGGAGACAGGGGTAGAAGGAAATATTTCGTTGTCCTCTGTCACCATATGAAAGTATTACATATTCCAAAATCAGTGTTGGGTGTTTACTGCTATTAACACTAGCTAAAGAACTGAGCCACACCTTCCCTTTTGCAGCGAGGAAACACCACCCAGACGCACCTTTAAAGGGACATTCAGGTCAAAAGCTCTGATCCTGCATCATTTTAAGTGGAGGACATGTCAGACCCAGCTCTGCTAGTTCCAGGCTCCTGGACAAAATCCTTCTGCCTGGCATTTTCATCCGTAAATTGGGCTTAAAACAGATACACTTCGCTGCTGTAGTCCAGGTAAAACTCTTCAGTATATGATAGTATAATAATTACTATAGTAATACAATGCTATATATAATATAGTCATAAATTAATCTTACAGAGGCTGCTATTAGCACACTCGACTCTAACATTCCTTTCCCTTTCAACACGACTGGAAGGACCTGACAGAAATTTATAATTTAGGCAAACTGAGTAATAATGACGTAACCCAAAAATTCACCCCACTATTGCACCAAAAGAAGAGCTCGGGCCACTCCTGGGGCGGCGCCTCAGGGGAAGAGGGTCCTCCATGTCCCTGTCCTGGGGCCGCATCCTACCGGTGGGTCTTAAAACCTCATCAGTGTCCGGAGTATAAAGTCCTCCACACCTGAGGTCAATTCCAGAAAAACCCAGAACTTGACAGGAAGTCAGCCTGGAGCCTGGGGTTGTTCGGCCCCCCGGGGCTTCCTTACTCTGACCCACCGACCACAGCCCCGGATGTAGGGCGGCCCGAGACCGCCATCTCTGCGGGGCGGAGCCTCGGGCGGGGCGGAGCTTAGAGGGAAGTTGTGACACTTTGGTTCCGGGGGTGTCCAGCACGCGCGGGTCGGCCTGAGGAGCTAAAGATTCGAAGATTTCGCGCGAGTTTCCTACAAACCGGACTGCGGGCCTCCCGGTAGGCGACCCCGGAGCTCCGAGGACTCGCCCTGCGACGCGACGCCCTGCGCGCCACACGTCCCCTGCCCGCCTCGCCTGTCCTCGAGACCTGCCACCGAGTGACGCTCGCCCTCACCAGGCCCCCCGAGCGCCGCCCGCAGAGCCACTGAGGTGATGGGCAGCCGACTCCTCAGCCCCAGCGCCCACCCAGCGCCCTGGTGGAGACCACAGCCCGGAGGACCCGGCCCCGCCAAGCGCC